GTGTTACGTGATAAGAAAAGTACCCACTAAACCAGTGATAACTGAAACGACTATATTGACACTCCTCCCACTGGATGACGGCCATGAGAGTGGCTGAAAGCGCAGACACGTTTTAGAAGATGAACTGTGGAGCTAAGAATTTGTTTTGTACAAACTATGTCATTGAAAAAAGGAAAAGGAAAACTCAAGGTTGTTAGATGCAATGTTTGTGGACAATGGTCAATGTATTTTATCTAATACACATAAAACACCAAATTGAAACAAGATTTCTTGAAACAACTCCGAACTGAAGGTGAGATTGGTGTGACTCAGAAACAAGGACAATAACGTGTTTGTTGCTCTCCTCAGTTTCCAATTGAGTGTGGCTGTGTTGCGTCAGTTACCCTTCAGAGATGCATCTTCCTTAATGCGCTCCTTCTCAGAGGATCCAGGGTGAATGTCTGCAACTCTGGCTGCCGGACAGCTTGTCCTCGGGTCCGTTCACACACGATCACCGGTGAGGAGACTGGAGTTCGTCCGAGACGAGTCTCTGAGAAACAATCAGTAGAAATGCGAACTCTACTGATTAACAGACACAGCATCACAACGCGGGGCTGCATTCTCATCAACAAAACCAGAGAGGAAGACTGACTTCTTTCATGGAACCTTATTCCAGATCTTCAGGCAGAATTATTGTCCTGGTCTTGATCTCATGGTGAGTTTGAAGCTGTATCCTTAAGAAAGCTATGTTTTCTGCTCAAATACATTTAAGCGCTTTTGCCTCCTTGAGTAAATGTATATTGTATAATGGTAGTGTTGGTCCATTATAGTGTTTTAACGTGTTTGTAAAATTGATATTGCTTATGTCTATAGATGCTTGTTTAGATTGTAGTTGTATAGATCGAGTGTGGTCTTCTGTGTGAAACGCGTTATTTAGCTGCTAAGTAATATATATTGTGGTAGGGAGACGGTGTGTGATTTAACACAGTTGGTGGGTTAGAGCTATTATACAGTTTATGAAATGTATAAAACATTAGGGCACTACGGTTAGCTTAATATTGTTTTATGTGTACGTTTATGTTCTTTTTTGGACAATGCGTAATATAATGATAAATATAGTAACTCTTTCTACTGTTGATATGGTATATTATATATATATATATATATTATATATATATATATATAGTGCTTTTGTTTTTGTTTATGCTCACTTATCTTTCTACCATAACAGCAAGTATAAATACATTCAAAATCCAAGGAAAGAAAAATGAAAGACTTTCAAAGTGTATTTGCACAAATATTTCCTTTTGCTTCAGTGTCTGTTATTCAAGAGTCAGAAGATAAAACAATAACGACAGACTCACCTGTGAGAACTACAGAGGAAATCCAAAGGAAGAAAGAAACAGACAAAGAAACATGTCATCACAAAGCTCACCATACAAAGAACTTTTTATAAATATGTCAACCACAAGTTATTCAGCTCTGGCCTACTTAGTAAGAATCAAGCACAAATAATCGCATTTGGCAAATGTCTGCAATTTCTCCAAAGTCGATAAAGGACGTGGAGCGAGAGACATCACTTGGAATCTGTTCAGCCGTAGAATTAAAAAGGAAATGGGCATTTTTCTCATGACCAAGCAGATGTAACTGATGGGTAATTATTCTCTATTGATCAAAAAGCCCAGAGCTGACTGAAGTTTCATCATTACCGTTTTTGTGAGGCTTCTCAGAGCAGTGAATGCGGCGCACCGCTGAGCAGCATGGGATAATTTTACCACCGTCCTAGTTTCCCTTTCTCTTTCCTCCGAGACGAGTGACCCAGCTCCTCTCGCTTCTTTCTCTCTTTCCATCCCTCCTATGACTTAATAACAGCGGCCCTGTCTAATAGCTGAAATGCTGCATTCTCCTAACCTTGGCCAGTGCTTAAAGTGACTCTTCAATCTCAAAAATAGCAAAGCAGATACATCACAGGAAGTTTCGATGGATCATGATAACCTTTTCACATCAGCCTGATACCTGCAGAGGCTTGCTATACTTTTAATGTTCAAGTTTTTGTTCCCCTCACCTGAGGAGCAGCGATGGAAAGCGCAGTGTTGGCCAGTTCTTTGTCCTGCGACTTCTCTCTTGCCAGACGAGCTGCATCTTTCACCTCCTTAAACTTTTCGGAGAACTTTTCCAAAGAGGGTGATAAAAGGGTTCAGGTAATGAATCATTAATAATGCAGCACTCATTATCCTGAGTACAGTGATTAAGGAGGTTATTAAAAATAAAGAAGATAAGTATTGAATTAGTTTTCATCAGTGATTTGAACTCTGTTGACTTTGAGCTTTACCTGGTGCAGCTGTTGCTCTGTAGCGAACCCCAGTCCGTACACAGTGTTGGCCCTGCTGTCCGCCCACTGACCGAACTTCTGGGACGTCTTGGTAAACGTCATGCTGGGTGTGACCGAGCAGTTGATGATCGCCTGTAGAAGCAGAGACAACAAATATGACCATCCCTGCACGTCTACTGTATGTAGGTCAGCAGCAGATACAATTTGAAATAAGAGAGCATGTTGTTCCTTTTTATGACATGTTGTTTTTCCAGGCCTTGAATATACCTTACTCTCATTCTAGGACTATTTAACATATATCCCTGTAGCACTTGAGGATCTATGGCATCACACAATTACAGTAAGGTGCAAAGCAAATATAAACTACTCAATTCACTTTACCCTACTCGATGCTTTACTCATACTGTAGATGAGAACAAAGTGTGGAATTATATAATTCACTTCATAGATTTAACTTTAAGGGGTACACTATTGTCTCTATTGGTTAATGAGCTAGCATGAGCTATCAGCAACTCCGGTAGCTTAATTTAACACATCATATTTTTGTTAAACCTCTCCTGCTTCCTAAATAGCAACATTGTCCAACTCTTCAACCGTAGTTTATAATGGATTTTCAGTCACAAATGTTGGGTTTCAGAATTGAGAAAGATCTTTACTAAATATATTGCACACCTGCCTGTACAAGCTGACCAATTCTCTTCATGTCGCATTAACTGATCTTAATGTGTACAATTGGTTAAGTGCCTATTTCCTTTCCCTTTAGACACTGCTTCTAGGATGTTAAGCAAATCAAAGTACCTGACAATTTCTCAGGTACAAAGGTTTAATTCATTAAATTACCTAAATTGCCTGCATTGTAAATACGGGAAAATGGTCATTTTTAACCTCAACAGACTGCGTAAACCCTTTGTGTTTACAATGTTTTCTAGAAAAGTGAAGAACTCAGGAAAAAACATCCGTGCTTATTTTGACATTTGTGAAGCATTAACCTGAACACAATTCCTCCCTTGAGACATGTTTGTTCTTTTCGAAAATCACTTTTCTGAAAATGATCAAAAACTGAAGCTCTGCCAAGACACAACCTCTTATTGTTCCAAGCAGATTCAGAGCACAGGAACATTTAAATCACATTTATGACAAAGCAGTACAGACACAAAAACAGCACATCCAACAGGTTTTCCTCAGTCACCCCGGGGCAAAAAATATATTAGACCGGATCTATTTATAAATCTTTTTACGTCATCTGAAACATTACAATAATGGATTTGAAATCCCAGAATTGAAGGGCAATAACAGATTAGGAGTTACGCTGTCTTGTCCTCCTCTTTTCTCCAACAAATGATTGGATGAACTGGTCTACATTGCTGCGCTGACATGTTTGACATAACATGTTGGACGGTGGGGACAGCGGAGAGATTATTGTGGACCCAGACACAAGTCCTGGCAGGATTGGGCTGGTGACCCCCCCCCCCCTCCGCAAAGCCTTCTGGGAATCAGAAATGTGGGTCAGACCAGAGGTGCTAAGAAGAAATCAGATAGACCCAACCCCTCCTCCTCAGCGATTGACGTGGCCCCTCCCTCATAATCTAAATCCATAGAGCTGCCAGAAAGACGCTCCAGCTGCTGATTTGTTGACGCCTACTGTGGCTTATTTCACTATATATTTCTTAACCTTGAAGATTTGTCTGGTGGAAGCACTGCTGTGGATGAGGAAAATGAATTTGAAGCTGGTTTGTTTGGCCTGTGACCGTTAGTACAAATACTGAATAGCCTCTTGAGTTGCCAAGGACACCATCTTTACTGCAACCAAACAAAATAACACTACTGTGAGAAAACCACTTAGAAATTGGGTGTTTTTTGTTGTTGAAAAATGCACATTTTAGCCCTGGATATTAAATCTACTGGAACTATTTATATTATTTTGTTAATATATCATTAGTTTCGTTGTTTTAACATTTTGGCCACATAATGAGCATTTCCCTCACCTTGGTCCCGCCCACGCTGATGATGCGGTAGACGTTACGGTTGGCATCATAGAAGAAAGACACAGTGACGGCATGTTTGCTGGCGGGGATCCAGTTCCTCTTTGTGGCGGGGTCGATCTGGAAAACATGAGCCCGGGAACTGAAGATTGGCTGCTCCCTGGAGGAGGAAGCACAGCCATGGTGATGAGGAAATTGTTTCTGTACATGGAAATGTCAAGGAGCAAAATTCGGAACATTTTAAAATCATAAAAACAAGACAAATGTCTTTGCTCATGATTTGCGTAATAAAAAACCTAAATGGTCCTCCATTAAACCCCTTACCTTTTTCTTCATTCAAACACTTAAATTGTCCTCCATTAAATCACTTAAAAAGCCCTCCATTAAAACCCATTATCATACAACTGTTCCAAGTGTGTCCCTTTTATGTTTTAAACAAGATCCTTCATTATTTTCATAACTCCACTTCTCCATCTGCCATCCAGGGACAGAGGCTGGCTTTCTCCCACACTGTTCCCTGCGTCATTCCCCATAGTGGGCTGAGACTTAGCTGGCAAATGATGTTGACTCAAAACGCTCTGAACCCTCTCTCGAGTCGGTCACCCTCCACCCTCGCTCTGCTCCTGCCAGAGATGTATCCTGGATACGAAGTAAATATATCAAAGCAACAGAGTCCCCAGTGTTGGGAGTCGGTTTAGCCAGTCATGTGGTGTGAACAGCAAGAGATCTTTCTCTCTGCTAACTCCTTTGTTCCTCTTTTCCTCAAATTATTATTTATATCAACGCAAAGGCAAAAACAAATGAAGACAAAACAACCATTTAACCGCCAACAACAGCCATTCTCACGACCCTGTGGGGCTTCACTTTGGCACAGCAGGACTTTGTGGTAAATGCTAACGCCAGCATGCTAAACTTCTCGGATTCACAATGCCCACAGGTTGATGTGTACCAGGAGCCATGTTTCTCATGTCCACCATCTTACTTTGCCTTGTTAGCATGCCAACACTTCCCTTAAAAACTGAGGCTGATGGATCAGTTTTTTAGGTATTAGGTCATAAACCAATCTATAGTAAAAATATAACCTCCTGGTGGAACTAGAAGAACAATTAGGGGGTCCCCAAAGTCAGTGGGATACATCCTCTGAGGAATAGGAATGTCTGTGCCAAAATTCATGGCAGATCTAATAGCTGTTGAGAGGTTTCAATCAATCGACCAACATTGCTAGGCCTAGAGCCAAGGCACTTATGTGGCTAACAACATCAATAATAAATAAAAACAGAAAAACACTAATGTCAATGTGATGACAGAACAAAGACCTGACTGACTATGTGCCCATGCCATCTTCACAAACACGACACACAGACAGCTCCTTACATACAGGATTGAGATGTTAGTTGTAAATGTCTTCTCTTAAATGTCTTCAAAATGAAATGTTTTGATAAAGACAATACCGACATTGATTTGACTGTTAGAAATAAAAGAAATCATGACAAGATGCTTCTGTTCTCTAAATATTCACTGTTTGTCTCCATCTCTTCTAAACATTGCATAAAAGAGGTGTAAAGTTAAAATAAAAAAGGAATAGAAACCAGGACACTTCTTTTCTATGCACCATTGTACATTGCAGCGGCTGTTCCCAATAGAACTGCATTCTTTTGGCCAGTCATTTTACATTTATATCTGACCCCATTAGTGACACACAAATCCAATAACGTTCTCTTTGTGTTTCTCTGCGCAGGGAAATCAAGGTAAAATGAAATGTTTTTTAGACTCCTACATGCACTGTGTTAAGATGTGTCTGTAATGGTGTTCATATGAATGGTGTCATTTTGATAGCTGACCCAGTCCTGTCTGATAATAATAATAATAATAAGTGTACTTCTCCTTCTCACAGTAATCCTCCCCATATTCCAACTAACCATTAACCATTATGTACAGAGGTCAACATATCCCGACTATTACACCCTGGTATGAGTATACTATACAGTTTCCAAAATACAAGATCCCACAGCTCCCATTATGCAATGTTTCTGATGCAGAGAACACATTTCACTGTGTGTGCTGTGTGCTGTGCATGTGTGACCATTAAAGAGGGTTTCATCCCTCCCAATATTATATTATTATTATTATTAAATGGCCTCATCTCTTTTCATGGTCCCCAGTTGATAAAGTTTCAGTCAAATAACAGGAGCATAGAAAAAGAAACTCTGATGACAGAAGGAGAAGGGAAAAAGCTTTTTCTGTTATTATGAAAACAAATTAAAAGTCTATACTAGTGTATATGTTTATTACATTTCTATTGTTGGAGGTCTCATTGGACATTATATTTAGGCTGACGTAATCGTAGGAGGTCGATTTATTGTGCCAATATGTCATGTATCATGTGCTGAAGGTTTTACATACCGACATGGTTGATTTATTGTTTATCAATATGTCTATAAAATTCCATGAGGGATGTGTCATGTATAAAATAACAGACACTAAAAAAACACAGCAACAATTCATTTAGTGAAATCATCAGTTCTAATGTTGACTATTTTCTCAATATTTTTGTTAAGTCTGTCACAAAATCGTAAATAAATGCTGATTAGTTTCCTAAAACACAAAAGGGCGTCTGCAAATTACTGTTTTTGTCCAAGAAGCTGTCGAAAGATATTCAGATAATCATCATATAAGACAAAGAAAAACAGCTTATCCTAAGTCATAGTCATGTTATATATAGTCATAACTGTACATATCACTTAATAATACACTTTGACCACCCATCAAACAAATTCTAACAGTTAGGTCAACCCCCTTGCCTTTAAACAACACAAAAGACGCACATTAAGATGACACTCTAAATGAAGCGTTCCCAAAGGGCAGTGGAGAAAGACTTCACACTCCAAACATCAAGTTATCCCCTCATGCTTTGACCTTGCCTCAGGTTTGGTGTTTGATGGGGTTTACCAGAGCTACATGTTCAGCTTCACAACAACTAGGAATCAAACCTGGAACCTCCTTGTTGGTTACACTATCAAGTTTGAACAGAGGATCATTGTGTGTGTGTCAACACTTGGAAATTGGTGTTGCAACACTATGGCGGTGTAAAAATAAAAACTGTGTGTGCTCATGTCTCTCAGCATGTTTTCTGCTCACTGGTCAGCCCCGACACTTCTGGAGGATGTTCAGTCCCTCGACCTTCATTCTCAGTAGACGGATGTGGCCTTCAAGGCTTAAAGGGGGTCTCTAAGCGTAACAAAGCCTGGCAGTGATTGAATGGGGGTTGCGGCTGCCCCTCATGATGAACAACTCTAATTCCTACCACAATCTGCTTTTCTGGGTCTCTCCTGTCACTGTCTGAGCTGCTCTATCTAAAATATTTTCAACAGATATGTTGTACATTAGGACAGAATTCTAAATGTAGGCATTTAGCCCCAACCCCCCAGTCTAAAGACAGGTAGTGAAACAAAACAGTTGGTGGCAGTACCTTTACACATTCATATTTAACAAATCAAAAATAAGTTGTACATTATTAGTCAATAAATTAGCAGTTTTATACATCAATGCCCTGATATGATCTCTGTGTAACCGCTCCATGGTCATTTCTTATTTACACCTGCAATAAAAGCATCTTAAGTAGAGTCATTAATGAGAATTATGGTTCAAATAATATGAAGACTCTTGGGCCAAACAGGAAAATATTACAGAAGATTATGGCTTTCATTTCACAGATTTATCTGAAAAGCCCCAGCTGAATCAGTGTTGGTAAGAAACCCCGGCGCTGCTTTAATAATAATAATAATAATAATAATAATAATAATAAATCATTACATTTATGACAGCGCTTTTCCAAGTGCTCAAAGCGCTTTACATTACTACACATATCAGACATGTAACAGTGAATACTGCGGACAATACTCACAGGAGCAAATTAAAGTAAGAATGCTTTTAGATTATGCAAGTTTCCTGAATCTTTATTCTAATAATACAATATGTTTTAATAATGAGTATTATCCTAATTATTCAAGTTAAGACAAACTTTCCCTTGTTGGGAAATCAAGAATCAATTTGTTCTAGCAACCTAAGGTCAAAAGAAATCAAATTTAGTATGGGACAAGCTTGTTCTTACCTTTCTCTGTGGTGAGGAAACATCTTAAAAGGTGGCTGTGGCTTCTTTTCTACACAGGAGAGAGTTGCAGCTTCCATTAACCCACGGTTCAAATATAATCATAAAAGGCAAGCTCTTTACTTTAACATTTCATTTTAAACCTAATTAAATAGGCAAACTCACCCCATTTCGGTGTAGACCTCTGGCGAGCCTTTGTTTTATCTCACAATAATTCCGCACTGTTCTCCCAGTCTGCTCTTTCTTTCACTCTGAGCTACAAAATGCTTTATTCTCCAGGGGGATGCTTCACCGCAAAGCGCCGCACACAGCCTGCTGCAGCCCGCAAAGTGTCCCTGCCGTAACCCGCAAAGTGTCCCTGCCGTCCGGTCCTGACCACCGGCGTCCACTGTTCACCTCTGCAGAGCCCGAGGAGTCACAACCCGGTTGAGGCAGAGCTGCTTACCCCGGCGACTGAAGTTACTGCGTTCCTGCGAGTGTCCATCTTCCGCTGGAGAACAAACAACCTCTTTGTTTCTGCCCTCCTCAGTGTTGCTCAGTTCTCTCTTCTTTGTAGTTTTACAGCTTTCTTCAAGCCGGCTGCACGCATTCAACAGTGGGACTCCGCCGACGGTCGAGTACCACCTGCTGGCTCCACAGGCTCCGAGTACCGCTACAGCTGCAGGAGGCAGGGAAACAGTGTCAACCTGCATGCAGCCAATGAGCCTGAATGGGTGCATACTGCAAACCGGATCTAGTCTGCTTCGCGCGAACCAGTTTTAAGGCTTAATGTGATATAGTCCCCGAGGAAAGTCATGACTTAAAAATACGTCCATTTAGGGGTCGGGCCTAAAGCTGTTATAAATAGTTTTTTAAATATTGAATTCATACATTTTTTAAATAGCAAGTTCGTATTTAAGAGAGCATACATGATAGTAATGAGTAAATTAGTCCTGAATAGAAAATGTATACCTCCGCCACCAGTGTATTTCTGTCAGAAGTGTGATCACCTCATTGTTTTTATTCTATTACACATTTGCGTAACATTTTCATAATTAATGTCTGCATCCGTGAGTCATGAATAATCTACTAAATCACAATGACCTTGATCTTTAACTACCAAATTCAAATCAATTCATCCTGACCTTGAGTCCAAGTAAATTTTGTGCCAAATGTGAAGATATACACTTACAGACATAATGCCTGTTACTGGCATGGAGGCTTTAACACAGAAATACAACAGTGAAGTCAAGTTGAAGAAGCAAAGAAGGGAATTTTAATCTTCCAAGAATATCAACAGGAGAATCTTAGTGAGCATTATTGTAAAAACACCATCAGTGGGCAGAAATACAAATGTTCCAAACACAAAACTTAATTTTCAGTTCAGTTGTTATCAGCAATAGGCCAAACAAATTCCTTCATTCGAAAATATAAGATGGAAAAATGAATAAACTACTTTTATTCATTAAATGAAATGCATGATAATCTTAATAGGGAGCATCTAGATAGGTTGTGAGATAAATTAAGAGTAAACTCATCTACAGAGAATATACAGAAAGAGGGAATAAATACATATTATTACAATAAAAGTTGGCCAAAGCGTTAAATATTATCAATATATAATACTGTACTGACGACATGAAACTAAACTAAATAAACCTAAAAACAATTAGAAAGTGATTATAACAAGCTTCATGGAAACATCGTCCATCTAAAAACATGTAAAATAAGACCAAACGGCACACGTAGAGCTCTGAATCAAAGTTCACTAATGTCTTTTGAAGTTATACAACTCTTGCATGATGCATAACTATATGTGACAGTTTGACATATTTCTATTAGTTCAACACTTAAAGGTGACCTATCATGCAAAATGCACTTTTGTACGTCTTTTATACATGAATATGTGTCCCAGGTGTTCCAGGGAACTCACCAAGTGTCAGAAAACACAACCCTCTATTTTCCTCCATACCCAAATCTCTTAAAAAGGGGCTGCAACGGATCTGATACAGACTGATCCAGATTTGAACACTTCTGTGACGTCACAGAAGTGGCGCTACGGCTATTGGGCCAACTCCACCAATCAGGAGGAGACAGCCACGGACATTGCCGTTCGAAAGCGCTGGAGACGCTGTAGTACATATGCCAGGCCTGTAGATGGTGCTGTTCTCACAGAATCAGCCCATGCAAAGACAGTGCGAAATTGAAAATTAAATTGAAATTGAGCGAAATGAGGAATGGCTAAAATGCATGATCTGTTTAGTATTTTGAAAAATAAAAAGTATAAATATGCCTTATATAGGTATGGTCCTACACTATATTATTCAAATATAGCATGATAGGTCCACTTTAAGGAAACCAAAGGACAGAAACAAATTGGGGAAGATGACAATGTTAAGTTTTTGACCTTGCGTCTTAATCATTTAAAGAGGTCTTTATCCCACATTTTAGGGTTACAGTGCACGTTCAACATGTAACTTTGCTAATCTGTGGGCATTTCAAAATGCTTAATATCTCTTACCATTCTGACATGGTGAAAACTATGATCACGTTTCTTTTCAACACATTTGTTTTAAGATCGGGATCGGAACCTAGAGGTTTTACTCCTCATTGGTACAGAGTAGTTATGTCTAGTATGTTAGTAGTTATGTCTAAGATGATTTATTTTCAGAGATAATCTCAATGTATGCAGTTTTTTGTTGTTGTTTCGGAGCAGGGTCTTTGCTGCCCTCTTGATTTGGCTTTTTTGATGCCTTTTGCTATAGATGCTCAAGATGATCCCTGTCTGCAAGCTTTAGTGGCTTTAGGGTCAGCAGGAAAGAATGACAGCTTAATTCAGTCATAAGTTAGGGTGTTCACTCACTCTTTAACACTAGTTTAAAGATACATTTAGAAGAGAAAAAACTAAAATGTCTCTCTTTATATAGATGTTTAGAGCCTCAGATCTGGAGACAAAGATGTTTTTCTTTTACGTTTATATCTGTAAGAGCTAAATCCCCCACTTGTTCCTTCCAGACCGCCTCGAGAAAGCCCTGCCTTGAAAGACGGCTACTACACTAGCTTACATCACTGAATACCTCAATGAATACAGCTTTTATTTTAGAACAGTTTCCAACTCAAAGCTGAGAAAGAAAAGCAAATGATCCGTTGTTAAGTAATCCTCAAATTTCATTGGAACTCTTTGAGGCACGACAAGCACTTTTCAGTTCACTTGAGAAGCCAGACAGTGTTTTCACACTCATCTCTCCTGGATGCTTCGATGTTAAATATTTAGAGCCTCAATTCAAGCTTTGAGTTTAAAAAAGTTGCCATAACAACTGCTTCAAGAGCTGTGTCCCCTTTTGTCTTCTCTCTCCAAGCTACAGAAGACGTCCTGTTGAGTTAGCTTGGAGGACATTTGTGAGAGACACTTTTCCTCCATCTTTCTCAGCTTTTGGAGCAAGATTCCTAACCTCTACTGCCTGAAGATCTCAGAGGGTTCAGGGACTCGCGAGGGACAAGATGAACTCAGTCGCCCCCCATTCCCGCCTACAGAATCGTTGGGACCTCCACCCTCCTTGACCTGTCGAATGTATTGCTTCTCCGACTGCGCTGCGCCGACAACGACAGCTCTCTCCTTCGCCATGTCCTTGCGTGTGAGCAGCAGTGCCTTCTCTCCTCGTCTCTAGCTCGCTTCCTGTCCAGCTCCAATCCCATGTTTTCTCTCACACTTGTGATTCGTTGGTTTCTCACGGTTTCTCTCCTGTTACTTTCACACAGTGGTGCTTCGGTTGTAGCAGTGGAAAACGGGTATCCATGTTTGTTCTTTTTTGTTATTACCCAGATTAAAATACCATTGAACTAAGCTTCACACAGGCCTAGCTCTTTACCAGCAACCTGTGAGACAAATACAAAAAACAAACACGTTAATACTTGTTTTAGGAAATATTCAGTTGTCATTTAAGAAATAAACAGATAAACCCTTTATTTAAAAGAATAGTGAGAGCAGAGAGTTCAATAAGAAAGTCAATACCAATCACATCCATATAGTAGATATAAGGCTGGAGTTAGCAGGCAGTTAGCTTAGCACAAAGACTGAAATCTGGGGAATGCTAGCTAGTTAGGTAACAAAATCCACCCACCAGTTATCTACATGCTATGTCACATATATTAAATATGTATAAACTATTTATTTGTCAGATGCAGTGACTTCTTAAAGTCTTCAATGCGAAGCTGCCAACAAGCAAAGAAACTCCAGCAAGTTACTGGCCTCTGCCAAGAAATAGTCTGCCATCATTGAGCAACTGTTGTTTTTACACTTTTTCTACAGGTTTAAGTGGCAACAACTCCCCCTGCCATCTAAGGTATCCAAGTATACATTTTGTTGGATCTGCTGTCACAAAGTCATATTGTGATTATTGCAGCAACACAGGACTCACTGCTTCAAGACTTAATTTTACCAGAACATACCCTGTGGCAGACTGAATTGCATAGTGAGGATTATAGGGAATCAACTAAGATGGTGATAGTGTCATCAGTTTATAGCCATTACATTGTGTAATCAACATTTACTTCATTATGGCAAAAACTTGTCTATTGCGTCTTTAACTCAAGGAAGTGAATTGGCTCTTTTCTCTCGAAAATATCAAACTATTAATTTCCTTTCATTGAAACATCTTAGTTTAGTCACAGTGGAATTACTTACAGTCTAGTACTGGGACAGTCCAGTCACACCGTGTTGGTAGGCCCGCTCCCCCTGGTAGGTGGAGTCCTGGGACAACGCCACATCAATCTGGGATTTGAACTCGTCTCCTAGGTAACTGTCCTATAATGGGAAAAAAAACAAAAAGTTAAAAAGAGGCCAGGCAAAAGTTACGCCTTAATTTCTTTCCAGGCAGAAAAGCAGCAAGTGGTTTGGACAAGATGAAGACGTCTTTGCTTAAAGGGGAAACCTGGACACACACTTGGAATATATGTGCAAACAGACCCGGCAGTAATACAAAGAACTGGCTTCAGAAAGTGCACATCATAAATCTACTAAATACTGACTTTATAATTTAGATGTTTTCACAATAGATGGCAGTTCAGTGATCGAACCTGAGAGAGTTCAGGCTGTGAGAGCCCGGGCTGGCTCATCTGAGAGGGCTGGCTCATGTTGATGTAGCCCTGCGTCAGCGGGCCCTGGGAGAACGACTGGGAGCCCAGGTCCTGGCTGGCCTGGCTGCCGCTCATGTGGCCTCCATGCCGGTCTGTTCCTCCATTCCCTCCGCTGTGGTTCCCCATGTTGCCGCGGTTTCTTTGACGGCCACCTCGATTCCCGCCTCCACCGCCTGCCTTGCCTTTCATTCCACCACCACGACCTGAAGGCAGGATATTTGTGTTATAAGTGTTCCATAGCACCAAGGGCCTTTTAAGCATGCCACACTTAGCTACAGCTTGATGTCTCATTCACCTGCTGAGGGCCCATTGACCTGCCCCATGTACCCAGGTGGAGGTATGGGGGGCATCACAAGGTTGAAGGGGATGGGGATGTTCAGGGAATTCATGGGATTGGGGCCGGTGCCAATCATACCAATTTGGTCGTGGGTCTGGAAATACATATTGGATGAACGTCCTGTTGAGGAAAGCAGTACGGGTTAATATTACTTCCTTTTAAATCTAAAACATGGCTCTTGTTTTTGTATTTGAAATGCTTAAGCAATCACATTCAACATGTTTGCAATTGGTTAATTAGTATTTTTCTAACATTCAAAAATAATGATTGGTATTTGGTTAACAGTTTCTCACCGTTGCTGCGGTCATAAGCAGATCCAGGAATGAGAGCCTCCCTGGCATCATACATGGCTGTGCTCATGAATCGTCCCCCCTGCAAAAAATAAAAACGCCATTTTAAATTAGTTTTTAGGACATGTCTCATCATCTCTGCATGAACACTGATTTATTACCCCGTTTATTTAGACTTGTCCTATCTGCATGAGTAAATGAATGCATCTTAAATCCTGCACATGCCCCACCGGAAAACAACAGTTTCATGACCCAGTGAAGAAACCCTGATGGCAGCGTTAGATTTATTCTCTGTTTAATACACACACTAAACTCACAGGGTTGATGGTGTTGACAAGCTTGCGGGGCTTGCTGAATTGCATGAGGCTCTCCCTCAGGTTGTTCAGGGGCCCCTCGACCAGGACCTTCTGCTCCTTGTAGTAATTCAACAGGTGGTTCCACAGAGGCTGCTTCGACAGGGCCTTTGGGTTTCCCACAATTATCACACCATACCTACGTGACATTAGCAGAAGACTTAATGATAAGAAACAGATGCGTAGGAATAACTGTGACAACATCAACATATCAAAAATAATCAAACGAGTATAAAAATGGAGTAAATAGAAAATGTTTAGAGTAGAAAAACCTTTATGATATTACACAAAGATCCTCTGTGTTCGTTTACCTGGCCCTAGTGAGTGCCACGTTGAGACGTCGGGGATCATTGAGGAAGCCGATGCCCTGGTGCTCATTGGCCCTCACACAGGAGAGGATGATGAAGTCCTTCTCTCTGCCTTGAAAGGCATCCACACTGGCTATCTCCACCTCCTACAGGGAGAATAAAGCATGGTCAGTGGCAAACTGATGATCAGGACAATCATTTACAGAATTAAAGAAAATTGGCTGTGCTTTCTTCACACATATTACAATTTTAATGAAAATGGCCACAAACTATAGGATTTTGGAGCCACTTCCACATCTCTTAGTCTAATGATGATGATGGGGATGAAGGTGATGATACTTTATTATCAGATCAAATCTGAAACGTTTCTTGCATCACAGCAGCTACATTTGTAACAACAACAAAGAAAAGAAACAAGGAAAATTAAAAATCAACATAACATTTCAATAATGGAATGACAACATAGTAATCTCATAAGGGGTGTTACGATCAAGAATTACATATGTATCTGGCACGCTTAAAAAACAGCTGTCGCCTACTTACAATGGCACACTTCTTTTCACTATTTACTTGATACAAACACTGAAGGTCCTCCATTGAGTTGAGAAGCTTAAATCATAGAACCATAACTTTGAGAAAGGCTATTCATTAGAAAAACGTAACATTAAATGGCTGGTCCTACAAACACACTCATGGTAGTGCAGGGGTGTCACATAGTGGAGGGTCTTGTTGTCAGGAAATAAACCCCAGCATGTAGAGAGCGCATACACCCAAACACAGACTTTCTTCTAGCAAATCATGAAGTCAATCAGAGAATCAACATTATGACGACCTGCTGCTGGCTTCTTCTCTATCAATAGAAATTGGAGCTCAGCAAGTATTTGGCAAACCTTGGCTAGTATTCAGGCTTGCACTGCTCTTGCATACTTTTCCATAAACAAACACTTTTTATTATCGCTTGCATGCAGACCTAAATGCTTTATCTTATTCTGATGAATTCCACTACATAACATTTAAACTGAAAACTTATTTGCAGCTTTACCTGGTAGAGTTTGGTATGGAGGGAGCCGCTGAACTGCATGTACTGAACCAGGTAGGACCTCTGACCCTCGTAGGGCGTAATGATGCCGATCTGATTGGGTTTGGCTCCAGCCTTCAGTAACCTGGTGGTTATTTTCTCCACATTCGCTGCCTCAGTCCTGCGTAGACAAGTATGGTAAATACATGACAAATGCGTGACTAAAACATTATAGAGTGTGATATGTACTATGTTTTACAACAACGTTTTCTGAACATCCAAGTCATTTTAGTGGCTACATGTGGATCAGTCAAGGGTTAAATTGACTCGTGAAAATTAACATTATAGATATCTATATATAGTCCGGCAGTGGCTCAGTCAGCAGGGGCTTGGACTGGGGGCTGTATAACCTTTAGAACCTGCCGGTTCAAGTCCCCGACCAGACCTAAAATATGGAGTGTGGACTTCTACTTGGAGAGGTCCCAGTTCACCTCCTGCCCTGCCGTGGTGCCCTTGAGCAAGGCACCGGACATCCCCCTTCCCCCCTCACTCCCATTGCTCCCCGGCGCTGTACAATAGCTGCCCACTGCTCCTAGTACTACACTCCTGGTACTAGGATGGGTTAAATGCAGAGAACAAATGTCACTGTGTGTGTTGTGTGCTCTGCATGTGTGACCATTAAAGAGGGTTTCATCCCTCTCAATTCTATTCTATCTGGTCAACACAATGAGAAAGTGTAACCTGTTGAGATAGGATGTTCCAGAGCTGGCTATTTCCTCCTGGCCTTGGGTCACATAGAAGAACATGGGCTTGTCGGGCTGCGGCCACTGGAAGTCAAAGCCTTTCTTCACTCGGTCCGCTGTAGAAGAAACAAACAATCCGATGAGAATAAGGACAAGTGCAGCATATATACAACAAGATAAATAAGTCTGCCAGCCCCCACCTTTCACAAAAAACTATTTCCGTGGTCTCACAGGGTTACTGGGCAAAAGAGGTCATAGGGTTTGAGGAAAAAATTCAAGTACATGTCTGGGAGCAGCATCATATGACTTTAGAGCATTTAGCTGCACACTGAAGCCTGAGAACGATTTTAAGTGCCATTTAAAAAGGCAGTTAAGGATATGCCGAGTAAAAACATTTAAGATTACACTAGATAACTTTTACATTAGGATAGATGAAGACTTACAGGAAGAGAGAGGAGACAGCACACAGCAAAAGGGCCACAGGTCGTAAATGAACCAAAAACAAATAGCTTTGTAAAATGTTTATTTTCCATCTTACCCGCAGTGACTCCGTTCTGCAGAGAGCCCTCGTAGAAGATGTTGGATGGAAAGGCGCTGAGGGCCGGGTGCATGCGGTACTGGACCTGCAGGCGGATTGGCCGGATCCCCAAAACCACCAGACGCTCAAACAGAGACTGGGACAGACCGGCTTTAGCCGCCTTCTTACACATCACCACCGGGCCCAGCTGGCAGTGATCACCCACCAGAATCAACTACGGAACAAAAGTCATTAAGACAAAATAAATAAATGTGGTCCTCACAATTGGGAAAGACAGAGCTTTAAGCAGACAGGTTTACTTTCTCTCATGAAGACCCTACCTGTTTGGCGCCCAGGACGACGGGCACCATGCACTCTGGTTCGGTGGCCTGGGTGCTCTCATCGATCAGGATCGAGCGGAACTGCATTTTGGCCAGACGAGGATCCCCCGCCCCAACACAGGTGCAGCAGATCACATCGGCATTCTGGGAAAAGAGGGAAGCGATAAAGAAGAAATATTAATGAACTTTCTGCAACACTTTTCTAAGTCTTTTTGATTCTTGAGATTTCTAGAATCCATTACCATGACACACTCTTTTCAGTAGGCCTGAACTGATTAGCCTAAAAAACATATGCCACTTGAAAATCACTATTAAATGTGAAAGGGCTGTACTAACTCCATACTTACACACATTTACAAGCTCCTATCACCACTGGAATATATCTAAATTTGAATGTTAACATTATGAATGAGGCTTCAAACTTTTAAACTACAAAACTAAAATAGCCATGTAGTGTCACAAACAGTCAGTAGTAGGTATTGCATAAGACCATTCTTCATACCATGAGCAGTTCCCTCTCGGCGGTGCGTCTCAGAGCTCTGTAGCGCTTCTCGTCTGAGGATGACAGCTCTCCAGTCTCGTCCTTCAGCTGCTGCAGCTTCTGAAGTTCTGGCATGCTGCATAAATGATAACTCATAAGTTCATAACCATGCCTGTGAGCAGATGTTACCATTACTCCAATAATTATCATATTTGTACTTCCTGGATTCACATTTGTTGCTACAAAACATGAACACATTTGTCTCTAACAGGACTTGTATGATATGATACTGCTTAGCAACAACATGCTTTTAATGTTATCAAATATAATTGTTTCGATACTAGTTCTGTTTTTCAAAGACACATTTTTTAAGACTGATGGTGTGTGTATACAAGTATAAATCTGATACTTGTACTCGCAATTAACCACACACAGGTTTTTGTATTGATCAAAGCCAGTAGTGTGTTACCTGTCCATGTTGCGGGTCTGGTTGTGCAGAGCCAGGAAGGACACAGGCGAGTCAATGGCTTCCCTGCTCTTGGCACACAGCCTCACCACCTTCAGGCCCGTCTGGTGGATCTTTTCCGTCAGCTGGTCGACCGCAATGTTGCTGGGAGCACACACCAGCACTGGCCTGCAGGAACAAAAGTCACAACGCGGTCTTAGGGGGCAAAACTAAAAGCCAAGATATTCTTGGAGAATAGTTTAGGCAGACTGTCCAAAAAACAAAACAGTTTGGCTCTCCTGTTTTTCACACACAATTCAACAATGATCATTCAACAACCTCAATAAAAGCTTCAAATGTAAATAAAATGCATTGGGTACAGACCATTTAAATAAAAACATTAAAACCAAATACTCATTTTATAACCAAGGAGATGGGTATTATTTCTGATAACACCAGCCCTCAGATCAAAAACACAGACAAAGCAGTAAAATACTTCTCCATGTGTCTTACCCGTTGCCCTGTCTGGCCAGGTGGTAGACGACAGTGGCAGAGGTGACCGTCTTCCCCGTGCCAGGAGGACCCTGGATCAGACTGAGAGGACGCTGCAGCACCGTCTTCACTGCGTACACCTGCATCACAACAGCCAAGACACAAAGGATTCATACAGTAGCTATATGAATAGTTGCATTCCTTGAATTTTGGGAAGCACTTGAGGAATAGGAGTGAACTGTGCATGGTATCTGTCATGTTGTTTATGTGGTCTGTAACTTTCCCGTTTATATATTAAAACAGTTTCTCCCCCCGTCCCTCCAACTCACCTGTGAGTGGTTGAGGTCGGGCAGGCCTTGAGCAGTGAAGCGTTTGGGCAGCTGGCACTTGATCACCACGTCCTCTACCTCGTGTCCCAGCAGCTTGTGGTAGATGTAACCAGACACTGAAGTCTCGTCCACAGCAAACATCTTCAGGGCACTCTGCATCCTGGGTGATGAAGACAGGAATATAAACATCAAGTTGTTTGCTGGATCCAAAAAAAGACTTGTCATTCAGTGGAAAAGCTTTGCAGAAACGAACTGCCCAGAATGAGTCATTGAAAACATTAAGGTAGTAATTTACTTTTTCCAAAAATAAAACATTTCATAAACAATGGCGTCAAATATTCAAGTAAATACAGGGCAAAGTGACTCATTGCACGTTAAAAGTTAGACTTCATAGACTAGTGAAATGCAAAAAGCATTTAAAAGCCACCTTCCACTGAATATGCATAAACAATTGCATACAAATAAACAGGAAATGAATATGTAGTCTCTTGATTGTATGAACACTCTGGCTCCTACTTTAACCAAATGACTCAACTGATACATAAAGCTAAGCTTCAAGTCTTGCATCAACATTTATCACAGCAAGGTGTGTGTGGGTTTTTTTCTGAATACCTGTCAAAGGAAGTGGACTTCCACACAAAGTCGACCTGAAAGTTGTGAGGGATCTCCACTGGAGCGCCGGCACTGCTCCTGAGCTCTATGGCAATCTCATCACCATAGTCTGGGACAGAAGGTCAAGGAAGAGGTAAACATAGTACTGCTACACAAAGAGTTAATGAACAATACCAATTACGCATGTGTTACTGAATGATATTTCAAGCTCTCTTAACGGGTCTTAGCATTTTTCATTTAATCAAAAACCAGATTAACATTGTCAACAGGACTTTTAGGTGGAATTGTAGACACTTTTCAAAGTGAAATCAAGAAATGTTGGATATATGCACCAACAACTGGTCTAATTCTGTCTCTTTTCTTATTGTTGGAGTAATGCACCTATTAATTAACAAGTGACAAGCTGTTTAATCACTTTCAAAATAAAGAATCTGTTTAAAAAACAACTCGTGACTAGAGAAAGGCATGTTTGAGGGCGTTGTTGTAGTTTCCCACTGCTGTCACTAGATGTTACTAAAGACTAATTTTACTGATAATTAAGTTGAGCTTCACTTTAATGCACTAAGAGACCTTTCTTCCTGTGACACTCTTGCAAAAGTGATACATGTGATATTTTCAGATGAAATAGATAAATGTGGTTAAATACAGTATATTATTATATCGTAACAGTTATAAGGATACTATCGGGGACTTTGATGACATGTCCGATGCCTTTCCACGGAGGGGCCAGATCCCCTTTGTACCTCAGGCAGATTTCATCTCCCTGCATCAGTCGCATATCTACAGGGTGAGATGGACAAAAAAGCAAACGCCATTAAGTACACATTACTGCTTGGAGTAAAGGCAAAATGATGTAATAAAATACAAAAACACACCATAGCCATATATACATATATTTAAATAACATTGGATTGTCTGTTTTTTGTAACTAATTTAAAATAACATTACAAATATTCATTTTAAACAAAACATGATGACAACAATGTAAACATTTGACGCAAAGATACAAACACATACCCGAGTCCGTCTTGGGAATAGTGAAATAAGCAATCCTCTTTTTATTCAAGCCCAAGTCCCATCTTACTGTTATGCTGTCTTGAGTCTGTTAGGAAGCAACGTTTCTGTTAACTGAAACCAAGTATTTCACAATGCATCTATGAACTAAAACACAGTAGAAACGAGTCATTTCATCACCATCAACTAATTATAAATTAAACTCATCTAAATCAGTTTGTCCATTCATTGATTAGAAGTTAAAAAAGGTATCATTCCAAATTGTTACTTTAGGTGTTTATTATAACATACATGTAACAAATATGTTCTGAATAATAAATGTTCTCTTTTTTTTTTTTTCAACCTGAGACTCTTTCAGTTTCTTATCATAGTCGGCCTCCAGCTTCACAAGAGGACCAAAGATGTTCTGGTACTGGTAGGCGTCCTCATATCGGAGCAGCACATGTTGGGGCTCCTCGTCCACGCCGGGCTTCTCCAGGTCCTCCAAGGTCGCAGTGGGATTTTCCTGCCGGACGGACGGGGACACGGGCACACACACACACACACACACACACACACACACACACACACACACACACACACACACACACACACACACACACACACACACACACACACACACACACACAGTCCTTTTTATAAAGACATTTTGAAATGTTTTGACATGTTTTGACAGGAGGCTGCATTCCATTTAGCCGCTTCAGTTTGAGAGCCCTGGTGTTGTGAATGCTCGCTCACTTTGACAGTCTACTGGGGAAAAAAGCATCACAGGCAGTGAAACCGAAAGAAAATTATCAGTAAACCTGCAATAAAGTTATTTGCATCACACCCAACGATATGACTTTATCTGGTTAACTTTAAAGATAAGCCCAACCCACGCTCAGAGATATGTGCCTTCAGAATATTGACATAGTGAATGTAATGGCGGGTGTGTGCCACCGCAGGTCCTTTACATACCTTCCAGAGCTCCTCCAGCTTGTTGATCTGCTGGGCGGTGATCTGACGGGCCCTGAGCTGCTCCTGCTCCGAGGGGATCTTCACCAGCCAGGACAGGAAGCAGCGGTCCTGGATGAGAGGCTGCCACTGAGAGCTGTCCCAGTTGATGTCCTTCAGGCTGCTCTGGCTGGCACATGGCTGCCTGGGTCACAACCAAAGAAGAAATGTCATACAATCACATTTGGAATTTTCTTTTATTTCCCCAAGGAAGGTCAGTTTGCATGGCCAGGGACATAAAGACCCCACTTTGTTTATTTTACGGGCTTTTAATTTTACCTTGAGTATGTTTTGATCATAATTATTTATGCTTAGATAGATCCACTTCGCTTAACCCTAATGTGAGAAGCAAAAATTAAGTTAATAAGTTTCTTTTCAAGTATTACAATGATATTGTAGATGAAACACAAATATTCTGTGCAAAATTGTGCATTTTTCTAAGGACTAAAAGCAAATAAGCATTTCTATAAACTTGGAAGACTTTGTACCAACCCTGTTCAAGCAACCTTACCTGCACAATAGCACCACCACAGAGTCGGCCTTGGCAGGGATGAAGCCCAACAGGAAGACATTGCGACAGCCACAGTTGTAGCACTCCAGCACAGTTTCCCCCAGAGGGCCATCTTTATGCAGGGTCACCTCCTTGGACTTTGCTCTCACCAGGTGGTTTACAATGTGGCTAAAAGTATAACGAATGACAATGAATGCATCATAGGGAGGAAATTCAAAACACTGCAGTCTTGTATGGGATTAGGGTGTACTGTACAATACTTATGTGCCATTCTTCATTTTATTTAGACACAAATTAAGCATGACTGCATAGAACTACAGGAGAAAAAGTCATTAATTAATAATGCAATTTTGCAAATGTTTGTTTATACAGCTTTTAATATAGAAATACTAACATACAGCTGATAGAAACACAAGTTCTACAAACGTTTAAGTAATTGTGGGGGTTCATAAGAATGCCCAAATGTGTCACTATGTATTTATTGCGCAGAGCTCTCCACCTGCAGTCTAGTGGCAGAACTATCAGAGCAAAAAATGGCAAAAGCTGCTTCAATTGTAAAGGACACAAAAATGTATTAAGGCTGATTCAAAGGAGGAGGACAACATAAAAAATGACTTTGAATTTAGAATTATAAATCCTATTTGCCTTCGATAACTTAAATGCATTTAAATTAGCCCTTTGAATTAAATAAACATTATTCCCTTAAATTTACCTACCGAGACGTTTATAATAGTGGGTGTGAACACCTCCTGTGATGATATTGTAGTATACTATACTGTAAAATGATCCTCGCTGTAGTCTTTCAGATAAGTCCACCAACAGAGAGTCAATAATAACCTAGTTTACACTGCGTGTGTCTTACCTGCCGGATGTGTTTCCCCGGCCGTTGCAGAACCACTTCTTGCTGGTGTTGCAGTAGACCACACAGGCTGGATCATGAATACCACAGTAACTAAAACAGAAGGGGGCCAACATTGAAAAAAGAAACACAAAACATGAAAGTTAAGTTCATGGGCCAGCTTACAATGTATGTCAAAAAACAAAACAAGAAAAATAACCACGACGTGTCAAAAATGATCAAAATGGTCTCATTTAAATGACACTGCTACTTGAGTGTTGTAAACTAATGCTTTATCGATGAAAGTAAAGTGATGCAACAATCCATCCTAACATCTTGAAGAGGTCTAGAGCAATGACACAATAAAACAATTTCTAACTTACTTATTTGACTTTTATCCATTTTTGGGAACAACAACTTAGAGAGACTCTGTAACTGATCGTATTGGTTTTTATATTGCATACTGAATATGTACATTAATGAAAGCTCAAGCAATAAATCACCTTGGATGATATATTGCAAACATACACTGATTGCAGTAGATCTGTATTGCCAGTACGGATTTGCAAAGGATACAAAATATATAAAAAATACTATAGTTTGTACAGGAAGAAAGTAATGTCAGGTTTATTTTTTTGTCCAGCACTTTTATTGATTGCAATTATGAAACCAAATAAGGCACATTGTAAAAGATGTCTTTTAGGTAATGAGTTGTGTAAGAAAATAAATAATCACAAATTAGATTTTGTCAAAACTCTCAAATATCAGTTTTGGCTTCACAGCTTTTATCTTTGAGTGTTGTGAGCTTTTGTAAAACTCTTCCTCTTAATCTTAGAGAATTTATGTAACCGGTTCGTATGCATATTCTAATTAATATGACACTTGAAACTTTGTACAATAACCAGTTAAACAGCAAAGACTCTAGCTGCATACCTAATACACAAGCTGTATGTTGCTGACGGATATCAAAGATTTTATACAAATATTGAAAAGCAGAGGGTGACTAAAAAAAGCGAAGCTGTCATTCTCTGTCCAACAAACTGTGTTTTGATTGTCAAACTTCAATATGACAACATTTGAATTTGCTACTCATCTATTGGTGAAAGGTATGGTAATTCATCACTTTTTTCACAGACAAAGCTAGTCAACTGAGAATGTCTGGGTTGTCAGACATTCTCTACAGTAATGATTTGGCACAGCGAAACTAAGGGCTGACAGCCAACTTGTTAGTGAGAGAGTATACAGGCTGTGAGTATGAGAAGGGCTGCAGCGCTCAACATTGTGTAACAAATATAGTAATCAACCACTTGTTGACATAAACATGATACAAGATGTACAGATTATTTGGATCATGTGCCATCTGTAAAGTGTGTGAATGAGTGCCTGTAGAGTTGAAAAGATGTTTGTTCAGCGGTTGAGAACAAGGGAGAAGTATTTGCTTGGAATGTGCTCAAAAGTAACCATTTTATTTAAAAGAAATTACATTTGAAAAGTAGAATTTATTTTCAGACATTTATGTCAACAAAACTGCTACGACCTACTGAGACTCAATTTGTTATAAAAGGTGTTGCTGAACCATATAGAGTAATATCAAATAAAAACACCCAGCAAATAATGATGAAAATAAACAGAAAATGAAACATGAAAAACATTACAAGTGATTATGTTCTACTGTGATGTGTCACATTAGTGTTTACCTGCAGGCATGTATTGGAAGATCTTTGGTGTAGTACGCGTCCTCCTCATCCTCCTCAAAGTTCAACTCTGCCAGCAGCTGACCGACTTTTAACACTGGGTCGTCTCCATTCTGTAGCAGGCCATCAAGGCCATTAACCTGAGGAGACAGAGATATCATATTATAACTATGAATTAGACTTAATTTCGACAGGGGATAAAATGACATAAGAAAGAACTGTATTAATCCTGAAGGAAATGATTGTGCCATAAAATGCTCAAAACTTAGGCTACATCATAAGAATAAAAACTAAGAAATGGAAGTGTATAAAAAGTAATAATAACAATGCCTGACAATTAGTGAGTAATAGAATAAACTCAAATATATATTTAACACATGATACCTGAAGTAATATTGGAAAATTACATTTAAAAACATTTTACCAATAATAATAAATATGATAGGCCCCTATTGACAATTACAAAAAAATGTAACATCACAAAAAGACAACAAATGTAAAACTAAAGAGCTAAGGAGATATATAAAGCATTTTATGGTCATTTATTTCAGTGTTGGTGGCTGTCACGTCAACAGACGGTTTGTTGACAGTTATATCACACTGACTGTATCCAACTAAATGCATCTACCACTCTCTGTAATCGCTGAAGTATTTAGTGCATGCATATAAGAGCTAATAAGCATACAAACGGACATGAATCGTATCTGCTACATTAGCAAACCCCAGTCAATCTTGGTTTGGATACCATTAAAGTGCTGCATTGACAAACTAGCTGTCAGACTGCTAACTGTGTAGGGTAGCTAGCATGCTAGCGGGATAAAAGCATGGTAACAGATGGAAGGCGTTACCACTACCCAGCGGTGTTGTCAGCTAACGTTAGCGTAGTTGTCAACACAGAAGAAGAGACGTTTTGACACCGAGATGCCACCAATAGCCTCATGCACCTGGTTTTCCAGCTGACTCTGGGTTTGGCCTTGGGTCTGGCTCGGCAGGGTGAAGTCGGTGAAGTCGTACTCGGAGCTCAGGGTGTCCGCTCCCAGCAGCTCGCCCTCCTCGGTGTCCAGGAACGTTAGAGTCTGCGAGCTCGGCCCGTACGCCTCGACACTCATGTTTTTACCTTTTTAATAAACACAATTTTCCCCCAAACGGTTGCTATTCCAGTAAAAAAGAATGAATGACTGAGACACAGTGCTGCTGAAATTATAAAATACTGGTGGTAAGAGAACCTGGACTACGGCTGCATTCCGTTTGCATCCCCTCACGTTTACTCTCCTCCCTCACGCCCACTTGTCTCCTACAGTAAGTCACCCGCAAGAAAGGAGGCAAGGAGACATACGTGAGCAGAATTGAATGTGCCACTTTTATTTCTGAAAGCCCTCTCTGTCATTAAATGTGTCTAATTCATAATTGTTTGCCTTTTAACTCACGGAATTATAGATCCAAACCTTTATGATTAATTCAATTATGAATTACAGTTGGATATATATATAAAGTATGCATGTTTCTTTATTTCCATATTTATTGGTATAAAAAAATCCCATATTTTGTACGTCCTTATTTCTATTTTTCTCAAGTATTTCTGATTCTGATAACCAGAAAGTAATAACAGGGCACCACACGAGGGAGTTGTGTCAAAGAGATTTCATCTAATTTAATTAAATCCTTTTCACATTCATTCACATTATATTTTATTTGCTCTGTGAAAAAGGAAAAGAGTTAGAAAATAGAAGGTCATCTAATTGAAGTTGAATAATATAATATTTTATAGTCGTGTACCTGGTGTTAACAAAGATTAACTTTCCTAAACTGAATATAATGAAATATTTTATTTCAGTGTATATACACAACATATAAAATGATTGAATATGAAAGATAATTCAGTAGACATGCCACCATAAATCATCCCATATACATGTGTAAGAGCTAAAACAAAATGCAATGGAAGGAAAAGATAGATCAATATAAGCAGAGGCAATCTTTATTTCCCATTTTCACTATGTGGGAAAATAAGTGTAAATATGAACCTTTAACATTGGCATCTATGCATTGTCTTCAGGATTCTGACCCCTCCCCCTCCCCTCTATTAACTCCATGTTCTTTTCAAAGATCTGTCAGGTCAGAACAAGTTCAGCAGGTCTGTTGAACCAGGATGAACTACACCCAGTATTTGCATAACTCGCGCTGCACCACAGGAATCTCAAAGTGTTATATCAGAATTGGAAAAATACACATGACAAATCAATGCATTGTTTCCTAATGTTTCACATCTGTCTTAGGAAAAATCACAGACCTTAAATCTACCTGCCTTTTGAAAATGGAAGCATAAGTGGTTGTTGTAATTCATCTGATAATACTTTAATCTGTTTTCTTGTTCAGCCTTGCCTTTTCAGGAAAATCTTGACAGAGGCCACACACAAGTCTTTGTTCATCCTCAGTGCCAGGCCTTGAATCAAGTTTTGAACTTAAAAAAGGCAACACTGGCATTAAAATAGTTGAGTCTCAAAGAACACAATGTTCTAACTGACTTTGTAATCACAGATCATAATGCTTTGGCTTATAATTTATTTTCTTTAAGAGTTTACATTTCATGGGTATGTTTAAGCCAAATGTGCATGTAGATTTTAGATAAAATAATATCAAGGTGAGAAAAATGGCTTTTATGATTATTTACTGAAACCTATAGGCCTATATTAGCATTCATGAATGTAAAAGGAAAATGATGAGCAATCATTTTTGAGTTGATGTTATTTTCAAAGTACAAGCAGTGCATGTTGAAGCAGTACCTTAGACATGGATAAAATAAATAAAAGAAGCCTGTTTTACGTGTTTTAATAATAAACAGTTTGAAGATAGCTTTGCCTTGCAAAGGTGCACTACATACTGTACATAGGACAGACACATTGATCACAATTGATCAGATTACTTAATATCGATTGTGTGTGCAATATATTCCCTGAGATAAGCAAACAATTTTTAACATTAAGTGTGAATATTAACATTTCAATTCAATATAATCATATTTCTCTAATGCAAATGTAAGCAATACAATGGAGCATGAAAGCATAATTTCAAGACAAAACACAAATCATACCAATAGGAGGTGTAAGACTGGAGAAAAAAAAACACTTGAAAGTGAGAGGACAGACTCACAGGCAGAAGGTGTGGCTTTAAACATTAGTGAAGCTGTAAATGTTCCCACAATGTGTTGCAAATAATTGGCGTTTCAGCTACTATTGTATGTTAAAGTCGTCACATAAATCCCCTTTCACATCATACAATGTTAATACAACTATAATTGTTGTTAACATCTATTTTCACAGTTGTGTCCAAGGAAGAGGAATGGTTGATATTCACAGGTGCCCACTGCTCCTGCACACACATGTAAAGAACCAAGACCAGATCTAGAATAAACTAAACTTTCAATATTTTTTAACATGGTTTACAAATGGCACGGATATTACAGGTAAAAGCACCCAGTTAAGGCCATTACTTTCTGGAGCTAATGGTTGACTATCTTGGGGTCAGCACAGTGCTCACCCCAAGATAGTCAACCAGCACTCACTGCCTGTAAGTCATACGTGGTCATGCTGATGCTGATGATGATGATGATGATGATGCTGCTGCTGATGATGCTCGTGATTGCACTGCTTGTTGTGTTCAGGATCCAGTTCCAGTATTTTCAGCATCTCCTGCACGGCGGCCTGCAGAGCTCGCCCCAGATCCTGGCTGCTGTAGGGTTTCCCAAGAGGAGGCACATGGATGAAGGCAGAGTGGCCGTGCCCCAGGTACAGAGAGGTGTAGTAGGTGTAGTCACACAGATACCTGCCATACACCAAAACAAAAGGTTGTCTGTATTATCACATGTCAACATGACCAAACAGATAAAGATACTAATGGAAAACTAAGCTTTTAAGACTTTCAAGATGAGTCATGAAACACTCCTAATTATCATGCATATTTGCAATTATCCAGCTGAGAAAAAGAAAGGATATTTCGACTATGAAGAGATGAAGATTCAGAGATTTTTTTAACTCAAACCAAAATCCACAAAGCAGAAGCCAAAACACTTATAGTATATGCAGTTTTAAAATAAACAATAAAAATATTTTGTCCATTTCAGACCAAACTCTTAAGTTTGTGGCCTTCATTCAGGCATGAAAATGGAAGCTTTGCAATGCTAAGTTGGTTTATTGAGGGTAATCCTGTTATCTTTCAAATTATAATAATTTATTTGCCTGTAACAATGGCAACAACTGATAAATAACATGAATATTGTCACAGTATTGCATCATGGAATGGACAATAAAGTTTTCTTATCTTATTAGCACACTATCTATTTTCATTTGAATCATTGTATTCATTATTCCATTATGACTAACACCTGTCCAGGAGAGTATGTGAGTGTGTAAATGTTCCTACGTGTGTAAACTATAAAACAAACCTTCCAGCATCTTTGGACACAGAAAGAGTGACCCCAAGGTCAGAGCCATTGACTGTTTTGCAGACTGTTTCCATGTCCAGGACCGATTGTATGCAGTCGGGGCCGCTGTCCATGCAGCACTGGGAGGCCGGGCAGAAGCTGCAGTTGTCCAGACGTTTGTAACCTTTGTTGTGGCCGCACTGCTCCAGAGTCACAGTGGTGGCTAACCCAGAAACACCCACATGGACAACCAGCTGCTCACAGGACCAAACACAGAGGAGGGTTGTTTTGGATTAAGACAACATTTCATATGTAATATGGTGGAAAAATGTGTTTGTCATGTACAATATTGTGTGTTTTCTATACCTGTGGCTGGGGCTCTTTCCACAGGGAAGGCAGTAGGTCTTGAACAGCCTGGTATTCAACAGGAACCTCACACACATGGAGGTCTACTGCTTCACCAAGACCTAACTTCTCCAGTTCCTGTCACCACAGGGAAAAAGTGTATACTGTATGTTAAACTCAAATGCAGTATTAAGGGCTTTGCAGGCAAACAGTGAGTTGAGGGAAAACCCACCAAAAATGTACATCTGTCTTTAAATGATTATTCAGGAGCTTAAATACACCTTTGTTGAAATGGATAACTGGATTACTAATTACCTGTACTGCCACCCAGCTGGAGTTCACTGCATGCCCACCAAAAGGCTCAAAACCTACAGAGAAAAAATATTTTAAAATAAAACAATCTTCACTGCAGTAATGAGACATGTGCAGAAAATAAAATAAAAACGCAATGATGGCAATCTGTCATGTAGTGATAAGGGCACATTTTTAAAACATTTCAAAGTCCAACAGTTGCCAGTTAAACATTAATTGTATTCATAGTACAGTAAAAGGTTGGGAGACAGACCGTTGAGCGGCCCGACCAAGCAAGGAGGCAGAGTTCAAATAGAACCCGGTGTGGACATTTATTCAAATCATGGGCACATGATTCACAGCCTCAATTGCTGTCCACCTGAACACAGTCAGCAGCCAGAAGGATCACGATCACACACACACACACACAGACACACAGAAAACAGAGCCGAAATACACACACACACTAATCAGGCCAATAAGACACAGGTGGGGGGGAGACGACACAGGACACCAGGTGACCACAATCACCAGTAACAGACAAGACGGGAGGGGGAAAACTTGTACAATTAATGCAACTTAACGTCATGACATATACACGCTCAAACATATTATTTGCACACAATGATTAATCTCAACCGCTGTCAATCTTACACAATCAAACACTTTCGGCGCTCTCGCTATAACTCCCCTCTCTTTTCAGGTGGAGCCGAGGACCGTCCAGCATCTGCCAGACGACATTCCAATTAATACGGTTTAATCATTTAATAAATAGGCTACTACATTAATAAATAGTATAATTTATATAAAAATTTGCAAATATGCAATGCCAAACTGTACTGTGCAAATCACGTTAATAAAGTGCAAACTGTTCACTAAAGTGCTCAGTGACATATTACTGTGCAAAAGAAAGTTGTTTCATAAAGTGCAAACCCATATGTGCAATATTACAAGGTCCGAAGCCGTCAGTCCACAGGGACGCAGTTACCTTCGTCACAAAGGTGCAGGATCATTTCTGTCTCGCAGATGGTAGTGTAAAAAATATCATTCCTTCACCTAATTCATATCTTTGTTTCCTAATGTAAACCAATAGACACAACCCTTCTCTCATCACAGCAGCAATACTCACTGCAATGTCATAACATATTTATCATATAAACAGATCCATTAAAGTGCAGCTCAGACGCAAGGAGACAATTCAATGAGCTGTAACAGCACTAGGCAATAAAGAATTCTCTAAGACACCTTAGTCTCTCTGGACACTGACCAGTTAAAGCCTCTCACCTGTTACTATTACTTTCTTCTTATTGGCCATTATCCTTGGTTGTTAGGACAGGAGCTGTCATAGATTGATAATGAGAGATCAAATATCCCAAACAAGAATCCCAGGATTGTGGATTGTCAACGCTTGCTGCCGTCTTCTTCTGACTCAGAGGTGAAAGGAAGTCACAAACCAGATCTGGATGGATTATACTGCCACCTGCTGTATGGGCATACAATCTTCAACAGCAGCCTATAATGCATTTGACTAAAAGGCCAAAAACAAAAACAAAAAAAACAGGACTCATTATCTTTGTTTTGTTTTTCATGCTCGTGAAAGTGTTGGAAAGGGGGACAGGAGATGATGAAAACTGATACTTTTACTCCAACTGTTTTTAATGCAATAGAATGTAATTCAAGCCATGTGTGTGTGCTAAAATGAAAAGCAAGCATCTGCATTGCATTCAAAGATTAAAGGTTAGCGTCTGTTTAAGAGAATGAAAAACAACCTCCCCTCCATCAATAAGAGCTGTTGAGACAACCCATGAATGAACATTTGACCCCGACCAGCTGCTCATGAAGCGACATGCTCAGAGGTTTTACTGGGCAGCTCCCAGGTGTGAATGTGTGCAGTGTAACAGCGTCAGAGTGACACAGGGCGTTTCTGAACGTGCCTGCCCGAGGGATTAAAAGTCAAAGGACACTTCTCTGGCTGAGGGAGGGGAAATTGTATCTTACACAACCCCTGACACACTCCATTACCTGGGTTTAGAGGACAAACCCTCTTCCCAGTTTGTTGTCATGAAGGCAGAGTTAATCTAATATCGCCTAACAGCATTTCTTTTCATTCTCTGTGCCGTCCACACCCTTGGGTTGCGAAATGAGTCACACATTCTGGACACTGCACCCTGTGTGGCTCCACACTGGCACAGAGAATAAAATATGCTTTTCATAGAGTGGAGATTTTTATTTTTGCATTGAATGTTTCAAACTAATTTCTCTCATTCATTAAGGTTTACAGAACAACACTGATGTCACACACACACACACACACACACACACACACACACACACACACACACACACACACACACACACACACACACACACACACACTCCTCTGAACACCTACACAACGTGCACTGCAGTCGCTAACACCCCCTCTTCTCCCTCAACCCATTCACCTTCCTCTCTGTCTCGCCTGCGTCACGGCGATGTCAGTGTTGCCATGGAAACTGATGATGCCCTCTCTGCATGGTGGTGCTGATGCAGACAGTCTGCTGACGTCCTCGCTGTGAATGGGCGGAACAACAACATTTTGCTGAGGAAGTCAATGCCTTATATAATGTGGACTGGATGTAAACACTTGATATTCTATTCTGCCTTTTTATAGTCCATAATGATCTATTGTATTCTGCTTTATTATTTTCTACTCTATAATCTTTTATTCTATTCTGTTGTATTATTTTCTGTCCTAATGTTTTATTCTAATCTATTTACAATGCTATATTCTCTAATGTTTTATTCTATTCTATTATTTCTACTTGAATCTTTATTGTATTCTAATCGTCAATACAATCCTATTATTTTCTGTTCTTTTCTATGTTTATTCTATTCTATTTATATATTTTGTATTCTACAATGCTCCAATATATTGTGTTCTGCAATATTGTGTTCTCTTTTATTTTGTTACTGTATGTTTAATCTGTTCTGTAATAATGTATTTCTTTATTTTAATAATTAGAATGATTTTAAAAATTAATTTACATGTGGTGATGCCTGAGGTTTCACAGCTTTGTGTTGCGTTGTTATGATTAGTTCAATTTGTTTAGGAGGAAATCGATTGAAAAAGGGATAAATAAAGAGACTGAATTCAGCAACAGCCATTAAACCTTCAACCTTTTCAAATTTAAAATCACAGAAAGCACATGGTTTCCTCATTCTACTGTCACGGTTTCCTTCCCTTTTTCTACACAGCTTCCCCAGAAACACTTTCAGAGCACTTATAGAGACACACATTTCACTCTGTTGGTCGTGTGTGGGGGCTGCATCTGACCATTGATCTCACAGAGTTGGAACAAGAGGAGTTGACATGGTTTGTGTAGGAATCTGATGATTTTGTAATAAAACATGAAATCAGTTTGAACTTGAACACATACTTTAAGATTAAATAAATCCTAGAGACTAGTTTGTGGAAGAGTACAAGACTACACTTGAAGCTGACTTTTATTCCACTCTTTAAGTCTTTTAAAGTGAGTTACCCAGCCTTAGTTTAAGTTATATTTTTCTGTAAGTCCTGTTCCTCTGTTCTTTCCTTGGCCCTCGCCTCTTACACCTTCCCCGCCCAGTCTCTGCTCTCTTTTGGCGACCCTGAGCTTTTTTATGCTATGACATCAAACCACAATGCATTGCACTGTTTGTAGTTTACCCAGAGTCTCCATGGCAATAAAGACAGGCTCTGCCCCTTATTCAAATTAAACCGGAAACCAACGTCATTTTGGGCCAATCTGCGCGCTCTGGAGTGACATAATGGAATTTTTAGGGCTAGAAAGCGAGCGAAGTCTGGCGCTGCGCATAGCATTCGTGCCACCGGGAAAAGACAATATCACCCGCGCGCTGTATAGAGACACACAGGCACGAGAGCTCAAGGAGTCTACTGATAGAAGAGACTGATACAAGTGGATAAGGAAACAGGATCGCACGACAATAAGGATCAGCTGATTTCCTCATATTTGGATATTATTGCTGAACAATCGTTAATGCGTATCGCTCAGCACTCCCTCGTGTGAGGGTGTAGAATGGAAACAACCTTCTACCCAGGCTCCGTGAACACTCCGAGGGTCCCCAGCATCTATTCCCACAGCACGATGATGAAGAAGGACATTAATCTAAACCTGGACGACCACAAATCCAACCCTCTCCGGGACACTGACGGACTCCTTAACTCTCCAGACTTAGGACTGTTGAAACTAACCACCCCGGACCTGGAGCGCCTTATCATCCAGTCCAACGGTCTGGTCACCACCGCCAACCCGTCCTCCCAGTTCCTCTACCCGAAGTCGGCCAGTGACGAGCAGGAGTTCGCGGAGGGTTTCGTGAAGGCGCTGGAGGATCTCCACAAGCAGAACCAGCTGAGCGAGGCTGGCTGCGTGGACAGACTGGAGCTCCTCGGAGTCGCCAACTCAATGGGGAGCGGGCTTCAGACTTCAGACCTCCCTGTTTACACTACTTTGAACGGCTATGCTTCCAGTCCGCTCGGAACCACCATCAACTACTCTACGGACACCATCCCCTTCCCGCCGCCCCCGTCTCATCTGGCCAGCGTGCAGCAGCAGCAGGCCGCGGCTGTGCTGTCCCGACTCCAGTCCGCCGGGCTGGTGAAGGACGAGCCGCAGACTGTGCCAGATATGCAGAGCTTCGGGGACAGCCCCCCTCTGTCTCCCATCGACATGGACAACCAGGAGCGCATCAAGGCGGAGAGGAAAAAGCTAAGGAACAGGGTAGCCGCCTCCAAGTGCCGCAAGAGAAAACTGGAGAGGATTTCTCGGCTGGAGGACAAGGTCAAGAACCTGAAAACGCAAAACACCGAGCTGGCATCCACAGCCGGCGTCCTCAGGGATCAAGTGGCTCAGCTGAAGCAGAAGGTGATGAACCATGTCAGCAGTGGGTGCCAGCTTTTACCAAACCAGGTCCAAGCTTACTAAAGCCTCTGTTTATGCAGCTCTAAATATGCTCTGAGGAAGAATACAGGCATGAATTATGAGGAACATTTGCCTTTTGTAACACAGAATACTTATCAGAGACTTGATATGAGGCCATTGTAAATGCACCCTCCAGATAAAGCCTGTTACTGAGAATCAAAACAGGCATTTGCACTGCACAGTGAATGAACTGGCCTTGATGGGAGCTGAAAGTCTACTGGAATAATGACCAGCAGCAGGTGTGGGCTGCAGCCTGAAATATGGCAGTGTTTTACTGCTAACAGACTTATTTTGTTGCCCTAATGTTTTTTGGGAAGCCATGTAGCAAAGTGCTGGACTGGTGCAGGATAGGGTTTATCTTTGTTTAAGCTGGACAATCTCTACTAGAGTGCAACCAAACACCAGGGTGTCACCAAGTGCTGGCACCCACCGTGTAATATAATGCCTTACTTGTTTACAAGCACTTAGCAATGACAAATATATATATTTTATTTACTGAAACGTTTCTTATTTTACATATGGTCTTACTTTGTTTATTATTTTTTTGCAAAAAGGAACACTGCATGTCTTGTTGCTCTTGTGTACAGTACCCATTGTATTTTCTATTTTGGTGGCTTCTTTGTAGTTCTTCAGGCGCCAAAACGTCCATGAATGTATGTGTACGTGCTGAGAAACCCTATATATATATACACATGTGTAAAGGACATTCAAGTCTCTACCTGACATTTATTAAATTCACTACATTACTAAAACGTATGTGTTTGGTTTCTTAATAAGACAGGAGGATTTGCCTGCTTTATAAAGCTGGAAGGAGCATTTGAAAGACTAAAATATAAATTCTTACCTTTAACATGAGTCTTCTCTCATTCAGTTGTGCAGTAGAGAAGCTGAACCAAACCATAGATGGTCAAACAACTCTGAGGGTAGAAAATAAAACATTAATGCAGTATTATTATGCCCTCTGCTGGGCACAATTATTCTAAACCATTTCTGAAACATCACATGTGCACTTCTTGTAAATCCCTCCCTTTTGGGAATTAAAGTAGAACCGACACAACTCCAGCTTTTATAATTGGTTTATTGATTTCCTCATTTTAGCAAATCTGGCTTTACAGAATTACAGCACAAATTCACACAACTAATACCCGACAGAAAGAACATTTCTATTTACAAGATGGCAGAGAGGGAGGATGAAGAGGAGAGTTGAACATGATCCATGTTTTTTTTTCTAAGTCACCAGAAAGTTTACAGCTGTAGCAAAACACGATAAATAAAAGTAACAAAAAAATCAACAAACAATTAAAAAGTGAACAATGCAGTAAGAATCACTGTTTTAACGAAGTGTTCAGAGTATTCAGTTAGCTACAAACATTTTACCTTGTTGAAGCTACTGCACATTGTCTAACAAGCGCTTTGTTTGGCTCCAAATGCCTTGTAGAGATCTCTTTGGAAATAACAGTTACTAAGACCTCCTTCATAAACGGCACATTCGCACACCGACGTACAGTAAGTGCATTATAACCCTTCAGCAGGGTTCATGTTGTTTATATGTGTAGAGAGAAATAACTGCTATTGATCTGTGAGAAGAACAGTCCCCTTTTACACTTCCAAGTCTTAAAAATAACATAACTGATATCAAAAGAAAAACAAACTTCCCTACAAAGCTGTGCGGACATGATAACAGTTTCTCACTGGAATGTTTTAAACTTCCCCTTGAGGAATCATCTTAAGCTTAATATTCACTGTAAACACAAATACATTTTCCCTTCAAAGTTTAGTCTAAGCAAGTGAATACTGTTGAACATCACTTTAAAAAGCAGAGTGCAGATTGCACTGCATCATCTAGGAAGAAGATTATCTTTAAAGCAAATTTAAAGTTATAAATAATACAAAATAAATATGTTTTATTTTTGAAATAACTTACAGGTGTTTTTGCATGCCTTGCATGACTTACTGTTTCTGTACTGTATACACAAGCAGACACATCCCTAACCTTAAAAGGGAAATAAAGCTCATAATCTGACATTTACCATGCCTAAAAACATCATGTTCCCCAAAACGAAAGATACAAATATGATCCACCGTAACACAAGAGACAATCTGCGTTGATGTAGAGGTCTGCACTGAATCATATGCCTTTCTAGTGAGCACAATGTATGCAGTGGATGAAAGTGAATACATGAGAAGGGGGCGTGGGCTTAACATGTGAAAGCTTTAGCCTCCATTAGCTAACCAACTGTTCAAACTGTAGGATGGCAGCTTTTAAATTCAGACAGCAGCTCAAAGAACCATCCGGTCAACCAGAGTCGGTTCAAAAACATCAACAACATGAATCTCCCACTAAAGCACATGTAGGAATCCAATATCCTCAAACATTATTACTGTATCATTTGTTTTTTTATACATTTATATATATTATGAATGCATTTCAAAATGCACAACTATTGACTTTAAAACATTTATACACTCTTTTAAATTTTGAGAGACATCCTTTACCTTTTAACTTATGTTGTATGTCTTAAATAAAAATAGTACATAAAAAAAAGTTAAAAACAAAAAAAGACCAAGAATCTAAAATCAAGCAGTGTTCAGAGGCTCTGCAGCTCCGGACGCCGACACCAACCAAACAACTGACATCCAGTTTTGCTAAAAAAAGAATTAAAAAAATGTTTGGGATCTGGGAAAGGGGCCAAAAAATGAATTATAGAAACAACTTCACAAGCAAACTGATATGAATGTCTTGCTATTCTCACGTTCATTCCTAAAATAAAAAAAGCAAGACCTGTTTGGACTATAATAACCTGAAAAGACTCAATCACAACACTGGGGAGGACCAGTGACTTCACATGCTCAAAAACACACCCAACCAACTCAGAAATGTAAAAAAAAAAAATCTATCCACAGCAACAAACAAATATATCCAATGGGACTAAGAGTAAAACGAATTCAGCGGATTTATACCCAAGTAGGTTTGAGGCGTTGGAGCCAAGTAGGGCCTGGGATTTGAGGATAATCAGCATTTTATATTGAAACCCAATTGTAGACACATCTTTAAGGAATGATGGAGTCTCAGCTTTCACTGGCCTTTTACATTTCTGTTAAGAGACAGTCTGGTGTATGTTTGTGTAAACGTGTGCCAACAAAACAAGAAGAAAACTTGAGATTGTACCTCCGTTACATTTTCTTCACCCCTGCGACTAAATTAGCACCATCACATAATCCCTGTATTACTAACATACAATAAAAAAGAGATTAGTGACAACGCCAAATCTTTGGGGGGAGCCGCTCATGTGGAAAAAAAGGGGTGGAGAATCTACCTAGTTGTTTGTCTCTATATGGCAGTGTGTAATATGTGTGTGTATGAGAAAGAAAAAGTAAGAGACAAACCCAAAAATGTCTGTGGGCTTTAGGAAAGCAGACAGTGTGTGCGTGTGTGTGTGAGTGTGAGTGTGTGTGTGAGTGTGAGTGTGAGTGTGAGTGTGTGCGTGAGTGTGTGTGAGTGTGAGTGTGAGTGTGAGTGTGAGTGTGAGTGTGAGTGTGAGTGTGAGTGTGTGAGTGTGAGTGTGAGTGTGTGAGTGTGAGTGTGAGTGTGTGAGTGTGAGTGTGAGTGTGTGTGCGTGTGTGTGTTTGAGAGAGTGTGTTTTTGTTTAGCATGCACAGTCCTGAGTGGACCTCTGCGGCTGCTCCCCGAGCTGCGGGCCCTGCTTGTTGCCGGTGACGGACGGGTCGTTGTTGTCCAGACTCTCGGACATCCTCTCGCAGATGATGTCCACCAGCCGCTCGAAGGTCTGCTTCACGTTAATGTTGTCTTTAGCGCTCACTTCAAAGTACTCAAAGCCTGCGGGGCGGGGGGGGGACAGAGAGGGAGAGAGGCCGTGGGTTACGCTTAATGTTCCCAGGTGAAGCTTACCCAGTTGATCCACTTATCTCATGCGAGGACACACCGAGGCTGCGGTGAGACAGGCAGCTCAATCCCTCCCCCTCGTTGTCAGATTGGTGTCAGTATTTATAAATGAAATCTATTCACCTAATTAAAACTCTTTCATCTGTTCATATGCTATGACTCCTGCTGATCACTCCCCACAGCAATATGCTTTTGATGTACATGTTCCAACAGGGAGAGTAGGAAATGAGACCAAAAACAAGCAGCAACCTGACTCTTGCGTCTCCAGAGGTTGCTTTATGAGGTTGACTGATATTTAGATCTCTTATATTTAAAAAGGTTAATAGACAGTTTAGATTCCTGTAAGTAAGGCTCATTGGCAGAGCTATCTTTGATTTAACATGAGTTCAGCCTGAAGTGATCTAACATCACTTCCAAACACAGTGAAATGATGTACCGTGGCTACATAGAATCAAGATGACATAACAGTTTGGCGACTACGGAAAGGGAGAGATATTCACACAGAGATATTAAACTGTTCATTTCCTTAAAAACTACAACTTCTAAGCTGATTAGGATCCCATACATGTCCAGACATATCACAAACATTATGAATTTGATTTATGTTTAGATGCTAAATATACACACCACTGCCTCCTCTTTGTTGGGGTCATGATTATATAAAATGTTAATAAATGGTCCCAGGAGAGGAGAGGAGGGATAGTAGAGGAGCAACAGAGATCAGCTGACTCACCCAGTTGTTCCGACAGCTGTCGGCCCCGCTCTGCCGCCACCACCCGCTCGTCCTCCATATCACACTTGTTCCCCACCAGCAGCACCTGGGCGTTGTCCCAGGAGTACGTCTTGATCTGGGTCGACCTGTCAGCAGAAAGGGGGCGGGGCTCAGCTTCATCATCTCATTTACTATTTAGTTAACTTCGGGGCAGAGCGACATTCTATCTTCTATCCTGATTTAGTCATTTCATTTCTGGATACAGATATGAAACCCAATGTAGCAAGCTTTCAGATTCTTTAATTAAAATATATTCTATATGAAATAACTACATGGGAATTTCTTTTTTTAAATCCTGTCATTACAGTATTTTCCCATTTTAAATATTAAGCATAATAAACAACGTTTTAAGTTAATTTCTAGAGACATACAAAATATATATTTCAAGCTATACACTGACCCTGTTTACATGCATGCACATATACAAGTACACATTCATCAGATTGAGCACAAAAAAGGGAGAGACGAGAAACTGCGACACCGTTGGCAGAAGGAAGAATGGAGAGAAATATGTGGAAATAATATCATAAATAAAATGTTACCTCTCATTTATCATATATGAAGAATTCATTTTCAAACATTGATTAAAGCCAATCTTAAAATGATTTAACAAACGCCTGTTTGAGACTCCTCAGTGCACACAAAAACATAACTGGGAGAAATAAATAAATACGGATATGTTATTTAAAACCACCTCGAATATGTTGTGTTAATGTTATGAAATGTTTTCTCATAAATGATGCGGTAAGCAGGAGGACAGAATTACGTCTACACTGACGCCGTTTTGCATTTCTATAGGTTGTAGATACGAGCATGGTTTTATATATGTTTAATACATGTTTAATCGTGTTTTATGCCGTTTGCCAAGACTTGATAAGTCGCTCGTAAAATACAGGATGTATTGGAAACTAAGAGCACCATATGTGGTAAATTGTACAGCTAATATAAAACAACACATTAGTTGTGTTTCCTTTAACTCTGGATATAGAGTTGCTGCGGGGGGTGAGATGCACAGGCTGCAGTGGAGACGCTGCGCACAGCTGATCGACAGCTGGGACACAAACCGCCAAATACAAAAACATAATTCAGATCCAGCCGTCATGACTCCACTCCGGAGGGATTCCCCGATCATTTCTTAGAGTTTCTCATCAAGGGGGTGTCACCTGACCTGTCCCCGGTACAAACACACTGCCTGAGGAAGGCTATGTGTATTTTTTTTGTCATTAGCCTTTTTCGGACCACATATTTATTTATGTTGGTGGCGATCCGACCTCCATGCTGCTACTCTGGTTCAAACTGCATCCACCAAACAATAGATTTATCTCGACCTCCCCAAAATAACCAAAATCTGACACGGTGTCAGA